GCTTGCGTGCTTCCGGCCGGCTGCTTGCGTGCTTCCGGCCGGCTGCTTGCGTGCTTCCGGCCGGCTGCTTGCGTGCTTCCGGCCGGCTGCTTGCGCCAGGCAGTCCGATGGGGCTGTGTGCTAAGCAAAGCCTGGCCACCGCGTTAGGCCACACAGAGGAAGACTTGCTGCTCTTTTCCCCAGCCTGCCTCTGCCAGGGCCAGGAGCCTGAGCAGGCCCCTGGCCTCAGTTTCCTTTCTACTCACTGAGAGGAAGGTGACAATTATTTCCAACCTTACATTCATGCTGGAATGGTAAGCCATGTTGATTCTGAACTATAGGACCGAGGAACAAAGGGTACATGGGAGGACCCGGAAAGAGAAGAAGGCACAGGAGGAAGCTTCTGTGGCAGAGGAAGAGGAGAACTGGGGAAGAAGTCAGGCAGCTAATCACGCCCCGCTGGCTGAACAGCTAACAACTGAGACACGCCAGGCTGAGCATCTCTGTCATCCTCTACCATCTCTGAGTCACAAGCCAGTCCCGCAGGGCCGTTTCCCGTTCCTCTCCCGCCTGAGAGGTTACTACAGGGCAAGTGTCTACTTCGTGGCTACCTGGCCGAGCGTCCATGAAGACTGGTGAGAATGAACACTTGTGGCCCTGTCTCACTAAGAAGCCATTGCCTGGGCTGGGGATGTAGCTCAGTGGTGGAGGCTGGCCTACGCTGTTCTGAGGCCCTGGGTTTCATCTCCAACACCAAAAACAAAAGCAAAACAGTCATCTCCTAATGGCTGCGTTTGGTGGTGAAGGTGGCCCATTTAACACTTAGAGAACCACGGTGGGCATGAGGCGATGCTTCCTGCTTGCCAACACTGGCAGAGCCCGTCCTGTGCCAGGCTTCCCGTGTAGAGGCGCCCAGGTTTCCAAGCACGGCAGCCATGTCCATCCCCGAGGCCCGCGGGGCAGCTCCAAGGCCACACGGCAGGAGAACACGCATCACTCTGCCCCGCGCAGCTCGCCACAATTTGCCTACATAAAACCCACTTGATTCCTTTTTCTGTAAAAATCTTCTTTCCAGTTGAGAAGGAAAATGTTGTGTCCTTATGTTGAAATTCCAACAGGGTTCAGAGAATGGGCCCAAACCTGAGCCTGGTGCAGAATTTCTTTCTTAACAAAACAGGTTGGCATGCTCTGAAAATCCAAGTATCAGATAACAGGGCTACACAATCAGCCCTTGAGAGTGGCAGATCAGTTCCTGCTTGTGCAAACACACAGGCAGAATCATCCAACAAGCCCTGGGCCCCCAGGTCCCAGGAATCAGTCTATCAAGGTGACAAAAGTATGTTTACAACCAATACCTGACTACTTAGCCAACAATCTCAGAGGCTTTGCTTGCTTCAGGAAAACAGAAAAAAAAGGGAGAAGAGAAGAGATAAAAATGAAAAGAGTCTTCAATGGCTTTTTTCAACAAAAGAAAGAAGAATCAAGTCTGGATTTAAGTTGAGAGACCTAAAACAAAAATGACAGTCTTCCAGTGGCACTTGTCACTTTGGCTGTCACTAATTCCTCTCAGAGCCCAGCGTCTCTTGGTGATGTCTGCCATGCTCTCCAGCTCCTCCACTCGGGACTAAGTGAATGCTCACGAAGCAGAGGGAGATAGAGAATAACGTTCTCAAAAGAAGCAGACAAAAGCCAGGCACCACAGGCTCATGCCTATAATCCTAGCTACTCAGGAGGCTGAGAGCTGAGGATAGAGGTCAAAGCCAGCCCAGGCAGGAAAGTCTGTGAGACTCTTATCTCCAATTAATCACAGAAAAAGCTGGAAGTGGCCCTGTAGCTCAAGTGGTAGAGCACTACCCTTGAGCTGAAGAGCTCAGGGACAGCACCCAGGCCTAGAGTTCAAGCCCCTTGACTGACAAAAAAGAGAAAAGAGAGAAAGAGAGAGAGAGAGAGAGAAGGAAAGAAAGAAACAAAGAAAGAAAGAAAGAAAAAGAAAGGAAGAAAGAAAGAAAGAGAGAGAAGGAGGGAGGGAGGGAGGAAGAGGGAGGGAGGGAGGAAGGAAGGAAGGAAGGAAGGAAGGAGGAAAGAAGGAAGGAAGGAAGGAAGGAAGGAAGGAAGGAAGGAAGGAAGGAAGGAAGGAAGAAGCAGAAGAGGCTAAGAATGAGTCCTGGCCCAGGGAGGCATGGATGCTCCATGCCTGGAAAGTCTAGAGCTAGAGACAGTTGTTCACAGACTCAAACTGCCCGTCCTCAGACCCCTTCAGGCTGGGTGCAAAGCCTGCAGCCGGTGGTTTTCTAGTGGTGCCTTAGGCTCCACCCTTCTGCTTCTGCCATTCTTAAAGTCACACAGCTTCTTTGTAACAGGTCACCAGCACCATCTCCCAAGAGTCCTTACATATCATCACATAAAAATGACAGGGCTGCACCATGACCCTGGCTGGGTTTTCAGCACTTCAAACTTGGGAGGCAGCACCTGCCTTCCTTTTGGCTGGAAAATGGTTGTATATTGAAAGATTGACATAAACTAACACACAGCATCCACCACTGAGGACCTCTGAGTTCAGACCAGAAGCCGCACATGTGGATGATCTGCATGAAACTGTTTGTACTGCCTGAACACCAGCCCTTGTCTGGAAATGGTAACTACAAAATCTCTGCACAAGTGGAAGTTTCCACCTGACCTCATGTGACCCGCCACAATCAAAATCCAGGTACACTAAAAACACTGCATAAATTTACCTGCAGACCATGTTTATAAGTTAGATAAACATGAAACACAGATGTAAGTTATACTTGGGTCCTATCTCCAAGATACTACATGATGGGAATGTAAATATTCCAAAAATCTAAAAAATAAAAAATCCAAAATCTGAACTATGGATGGCCCTGGTTATTTCCAAGGCAGAATACTGGCCGTGCAGTAAGAGTCCGGAATTTCAGAGCTCATCCCATGCCCCCTGCCCACTTCAGAGGGGAGAAGTCAGATACAAAGAACTAAACCCATTGGCTGAGACCGCAACAGCGCTGAAACCCAACATCCAGACCCAGATTTTCCCCAGACACGCTTCCACGTCCTTCGCTAGCTTCTCCTAGCTCAACCTCCCACCTACCTTTCTTCCTCCACCACGGGCCTTCAGGAACCGAGTAGGAAAGGTCCTTGAATTCAATGTTCACAGCTGCTCTCCGAGGCAGGGAGGAGAAGCGCTGCGCCTCCGTGAGGTTGTTGTCCACTTTCTTTAGGTGTCCATTCAGAAGGTCCGTCTCGGCCTCCTCCATGCCACTGGAGACAACCTCGTCCACCGAGACGCACACCGACTTGGGCTCCGTCATCGCTGCAGAGTAACTGCTGGCATTCTAGAAAACAAGATGTGTTATTGTTACGTGGAGAGAAAGAACATCAGAAACTTGCCACTTGACTCAATCATCGATTATTAATAGGGACACTTGCTACGGAAGACTGGAGCCGCGGAGGGGAGGAGACTGGCCCCTGGGGGGCTTGTCATGCCCAATGGCCACTTTTCCCTCTAGTAAAGAAGATACCAGAGACAAAATGATAAACTGGCCTATAGGACTTACTTTGAAATCATAAAATCAAATCACGAGACCATAATAAATGAGTCACTTGGTCACCATGGAAAGTTACCTCTCTGTATGGTCCACTCATAAAATCGATCATAAAGAGAGACAAGGCTCCTACGGCACGGATAACTGACAATGTCCTGTTTAAGACGGGCTCTCTGTGTAGTCCCTGTGGAATGCCTCCACAATGTCACAAGACAGTAACACCCATCCTGGGTATTGGTCTTCATCTTTGCCACTTTCCCCAAGTCCCTAACCTCAGCTTCATTACAGCACTGAGGAGTTGAAAAGTTTCAAAGCCAACATTCAAACAATAAATGACAAAAACCTTGAGATTCCCAGCTCAGCAAGGAGCACCTAATGTTTGTAGCTAGCATTTTTTTCTTTTTCTTTTGCAGTTACTGGGGCCAGAAGCAGGCCCAGCAAGCTTTCTACCATTAAGCCACACCCTGTGCCCCAAGCCTCGGCTTTTTACAGCTTCCACTGGGACTCAAACGATAGCAGTTGGGCCAAGACCCAAACTCATTTATGCAAAGAAAGGAATATGTTTTTCTAATAGCTTGGCAACCCTAACCCAATCAATAAACTCGGGGGCCTCTAAACACAGCAGGACCCCAGGGACAAACGCTATGCTCAAGTTTTCTAGCCATCTCCAGAAGCAAGAGGGCTTCCTGAGGTGCCCAAAGTGCAGGCCTTCTGCAGCACTCTGCCAGGACGCTGAGAGCCCGCAGCACTGGGGGAACCTAACCTCGCCACGCCAGACCGCCGGGGCCCTCAGACCAACGCAGGGCCCGGCCACTGCTGCTGCTATTTGTTCTTCAAGGTTGTCACCTAGGTATTTGCTTGATATTTATAGTTATTGTTCTTTTCTTGAAAACTCCCAAATTAAAACAGAGTAGATTGGGCTGGGAAGGTGGCTCAGTGGTAGAGCGCTTGCCTTGCATGCATGAGGCCCTGGGTTCAATTCCTCAGCACCACATAAGCAAAAAGAAAAAAAAACGGAAGTGGTGCTGTGACTCAAGTGGTAGAGCACTAGCCTTGAGCTAAAGAGCTGAGGGACAGCACCCAGGCCCAGACCGGACCCAAAAAAATAAAATAGAGTGGATGGCCAAAAAACATTTCCACAACCCTTAGCAACTCCCCTGATTTGAAGGTCCTCTAGAGGGCATGGAAGGAAATTAAAGAAGAGCTGGCATGGATTCCATTGGGGGTATTTAAGGGTTCTAAAACCTATCTCTAAGCTTGGGGACTTCAAATACAAATATGAGGTTGGAAGAGGAATTCTGGATCACTTGGTAATGGAAAAGGTAGTTTTGCATTTAAGAAATTATACAGGAGGGGCTGGGAAGATGGCTCAGTGGTACAGTGCTTGCCTTGTATGCATGAGGCCCTGAGTTCGATTTCTCAGCACCACATAAGCAAAAAGAAAAAAGCCGGAAGTGGCGCTGTGGCTCAAGTGGTAGAGCGCTAGCCTTGAGCTGAAGAGCTGAGGTACAGCGCTCAGGCCCAGAGTTCAGGCCCCATGACCGACCTCCCCCAAAAAAAAGAAAAAAGAAATTACACAGGAGCTGGGGGCAGGGGAGGGCCGCTGGCCTGTAATCCCAGCTCTGTGGGAGGAAGAAGCGGAATGATTCTGGTCTAAGGCCACTCCTGGGCAAAAAGAAAAGGCTCCATCTGAAAAATAACTAAAGCAAAAGGGTTTGGGGGGGTGTTATGGCTCAAGTGGAAAAACTCCTGTCTAGCAAGGGCAAGGCCTCAAGGTCAAACCCCAGTACTGCCCAAAAAAGAGACACACAAACATATACCCCCCCCACACACACGCCCACACACGGATGCATGCACAACTCTTAGGCATCTCCTGCCTCTGAAACCTTAATCAAATCAAAACCTCATCCCTGACTCATCTGTGTGACTAAAAATAAAGGTGCAGAGTAAAACTCGGCTGAATTCAGCGTGGAATGCTGTGGGCACGGCACACGTGCGCGGTGTCAGATGTCAACACAGCACAGGCAGGTTCAGTCCCCACGTGAAGTGACAGGTCCAGGTTTGCCCTGGAGCACAAGACCCATGGACTGCAAAGCCCAAGCACGGCTTAGTTCCACATGCTACACGTGGATCACGGGTGGTACAAAAATCCACAACGGAGTGAAGAACTTATGCAGAGCCCCACGCAAACACCCTCCACACAGCAATGTGTACAACCCAACTCCTGCACCTGTGTCCCATATCCTCACCCAATTAATAAAATGCCTCCATCAGAAAGAATGACATCACCCCATTTGTTAGGAAATGGAAAGACTCGGAAAAATTATATTAAGTGAAGTAAGCCAGGCCCAAAGAAACTCAGATCCCATGGTTCCCCTTATTTGCAATAACTAGTATATGTCTGGGACAAGCAGAAAAGGGCAAAAGCTATGTACATATGACCAGATAAGATGATGTTAAGCAAAATGACCCCCAAGATAGGGACACAAGTGGTTTTTTCTTTCTTGCTATTGTTTCTAATGTATTTATAAAGTACCATGTGATTTTTTGTTTCTTTGTATGTTCCTCCCCCATGGTATAACCCCTGTTTTCACTGTATTTGAGGTCAGTGCCCTGCATCTTGTATAAACACTTCTCTAATTTGGGGAGGGGAAGGGAAAAAACAAAACGTTTAAATAGGGATGCAAGTTGACCCATTGTAACAATGAGATGCACAAGACACTATGTTGAAAAATGAACTTTACAATTTAGGCGGGGGTGGAGTGGAATGTGGAGGTGGGGATAGGAGGGAAGGGATGGTAGGGGAAAAACAAAGGAGGAGGTAACAATGCTTGGTAGGAAATGTACTCATTACCTTGCTCATGTAACGGTAACCCTTCTGTACATCATTTTACAATAAAAACCATATAAAAATAAATAAAATCACACACACCCGTGTGATGAGAGCAGCGGCCTGTCACTCCAAAGTAGACCAGCCCTCTGGAAACGTCTCTGGGTGAGAGTAGCCAGCAATGTAGGTTACTGCAAGCTTTTGCATGGCCTCCTGAGCTCATTAAAAATGAAACAAACACCTATTCTGCACAGTTTATCCTAGGTTCCGGAGGTGCTAACTTTAACATACACTCCCCCTCACCCTCAACATACACACACACACACACACATACACACACACACACTTTTGACACTGCAGAATACATACAGATAACAGTAAATTCATTCCTGGTGCATAACCCATTAGTAAGTGCAAGTCATACATCAGAAAACCCAGTTGGGACCATGCTTAGGGCCCTAGGAGGTTGTTTTCCAGTGAGTTCCACAGTGCCGGGCCTGCAGACCCTCTCCACCAGCAGCAGGCTCTGGGAGGAAACTGTTACCCTCAGCACTCTGAGGAAGGAGGAAAGGGGTGAAGCTGTGGCCTGGCGCGCAGCTCTCCCTCTTCTCTGCCTCACTGTTACCAGCCCTGGTGCCCACATCGATGGCACCTCCTGTTCTCCTGGACACATCCCAGGACAAGGGGCTGGCCCGTAACTCTCATGGTGTCTGTTCACAGGAAAAATGGCCAAAGTGTCAGGCCCTAAGCCTAGCTGGGAGGGCAGGCTGCACTCGAATACACCAGGCTCCAAACACCGCAGCTCACGGAGAACACCTGACACATGCGTGTCTCCTCATGCCTGGTGACTCCAGATGCCTACCCCTCACTCTATCCCCCTTTCAAGGCCCTAGCCTAGCTCAGCTCACTCAGCCAGCACCGGCCACTCCTCAGATGGGGAAGGTGAGGAGAAAGCAAAGCCTGAGATTCTGGGACTTTCTCAAGGGCTCTTTGTTTGTAACTTGTATAGAACTTTATTTTTAATCGATGGTTCTGGGGTTTGAACTCAGGACCCTGAGCTTGCTAGGCATGTACCCTATCACTTGAGCCACATGCCCCCAGCCCTAAAACAAAACCTCAAAACCTGTTTATCTCTGAAGCCAGGAGCACCTGACACCCTGGCTGATCTCCGGTCCTGGTACAATCAGGTACTAAGTGCAGGGCAGCCTGCCCAGCCGCAAGATCAAACAAGATGGGTGTGGACTGGGTGGTCTGGCTGCAGACAGAAAATTTTAAATGAAAAGCTCTATGCTTTCAGGGAGGGGAGAAATATACCCCCCCTTACCCCCAGGCCCCAGGGTGAGCATTAGCAATCTCCACGTGAGGACAGGCAAGCGCTCTGGGGCTTTGTCAAACCATAACATGACATTTTAAAAAATCAGTATGAAAATATCTATATCTAAAAACGTCCTGATTCATTCTCCACACGTACAGGTCACCTGTGCAGTTCTGAAGGACTCTTCAGTACCCAAGCACCTAGACTCTAAGTACCCAAGCACCTAGCCTCTCAGCACTCAAGCGCCTAGAAGATCCCACACTTCCTCTGGCAGCCGCACACATCCATGACGTGCACTTCCCACCGGCAGCGCAGTTCCCAAATGTTACCCCAATGCCCAACTAGATGAAAGGGAAGAGTGACACCCTCCCCGCTTCTCGTGCACGGGAGGGGGGACGGTTGGGTGCGGGGTCTCCCAGCCCGGCCCGGGCCCCCCCGCAGCCAGCCACCTTCACGCGTGTTCGCCACACGCTGTGGGTTTACACACGAGATCATTACATAAGGAGCTGGCCGCGCGGAATGCGCTACAGTAACCTGTTTGGAATCAGAGGATGCAGTTGTCCCCGCGGCGCATGCGCGCCAAGCCGAGCTCAAGGCAAGAGGTAACTGTCGGTCAAACGCCGCGAGCCCCGCTGGCTGG